GAACCGCAAAGTTGAAGAGCTTTCACCCAACCCCTAGACACTGGCACTTTGAACTTGGACTTCTAGCCTCCAGAACTGTAAGAGAATAAACTCCTGTTTGTTCAAGCCAACCCATTTGTGGTTTGTTCTTGTCAGAGCAGTACTAGGTAACCAGAATAGTTGGCCAGGTAGCTGTCTTGCAAATTTCTTGGCATAACCGAGTGAGTGCCTCCAGCACTGTATCCATTTGTTGAAACATCTCAATGAGTATTCCATCAATTCCTGGAGCCCTGTTTTTTGCCAATTCATTCAGTTCAGCTTCAACTTCTTCCCTCAGTACCATTGGTTCTTGATCATATGCCACCTCCTGAAATGGATAAACATTGACCAGTTCTTTTTGGTACAGTGACTTTGTGCAATCCTTCCATCTTCTTTTGATGTTTCCTGCATCATTTAATATGTAGCCCACAGAATCTTTCGATATCGCAACTTGAGGCTTCAATTTTTTGTTCAGTTCTTTCAGCTTGAGAAATGCTGAGGGTGTTCTCCTATTTTGGTTTCCTAACTCCAGGTCTTTGCACATTTCATTATGATAACTGAATCTGTCTTCTCGAGCTCCTTTTTGAAATCTTCTATTCTGCTCTTTTATCTTGTCATTTCTTCCATTTGTGTTATCTACTCTCCAATCAAGGGCAAGATTCAGAGTCTCTTCTGACATCTATTTTGTCCAGTCTTCCTTTTCTGTCTTTTTAATGACCTTCTGCTTTCTCCATGAATGATGTTCTTGATGTCACTCCACAATTCCTCTGGTTTTCAGTCATTGGTGTTCAATCCATCAAATCTTTCCTTAGATGGTCTCTAAATTCAGGAGGGATATAATCAAGGTCATATTTTGGCTCTCATGGACTTGTTTTAATTGTCTTCAGCTTCAACTTGAATTTGCATATGAGCAATTGATGGTCTATTCCACAGTCAGCTCCTGGCCTTGTTTTGGCTGAAGATATTGAGCTTCTCCATAGCTTCTTTCCACAGATGTAGTCTATCTGATTCCTGTGTACTCCATGTGGCAAAGTCTATGTGTATAGCTGCCATTTGTGTTGTTGAGAAAATATATTTGCAATAAATAAGTTGTTTGTCTTATAAAATTCTATTATGCAATCTCCAGAGTTATTTCTATCTCCAAGTCCATATTTTCGAACTACCGGTAACTCTTGTTTTTTTCCAACTTTTGCATTCCAGTCACCGATGAAAATCAACACATCTTGATTGCATGTTTGGTCAACTTCAGACTGCAGAAACTGGTTGAAATCTTCAATTTCCTCATCTTTGGCTTGGGTGGTTGGTGTGTAAATTTGAATAATAGTAGTATTAACTGGTCTTCCTTGTAGATGTATTTATATTATCCTATCATTGACAGCATTGTGTTCAGGATAGATTTTGAAACATTTTTTCTGATGATAAATGTCATGCCATTCCTCTTCAATTTGTCATTCCTGACATAGTGGACCATACGGTTGTCTGATTCAAAATGGCCAAAACCAGTCCAATTCAGCTCACTAATGCCTAGGATACTGATGTTAATGTGTTCCATTTCATTTTTGACAACTTCCAATTTTCCTGCAGTCACACTTTGTACATTCAATGTTCTGATCATTAATGGATGTTTTCAGCTGTTTCTTCTCATTGTGAGTCATGCCAAACTGAGTTCCCAAAAGCTTTACTCCATCCACATCATTAGGGTCGGCTCCACTCTGGGGAAGCAGGTCTTTCCCAGTCTTATTTTGAGTGCCTTCTGACCTGAGGAGCTCATGTTCCGGCACTTTATCAGACAATGTTTCAGGGCTATTCATAAAGTTTTCCAGTAATATATTTGCTGCTATTCATAAGGTTTTCACTGGCCAATTCTTTGAGAAGTGGATGGCCTCTTCCTTCTTCCTAGTCTGTCTTAGTCTGGAAGCTCCACTGAAATCTGCCCACCCTGGCTGACCCTGCTGGGATATGAAATACCAGTGGCACAGCCTCCAGCCCCATGGCAACACTCAAGCTACCACAGTACAATAAACTGACAAACAAGTGGTGGTATTGCAGTGTAGTACATTACTTAGTGTAGCTTTTCTATCCATAAGTCTTTGTAAACTCCAAGGTGGGATTTTCTATGAGCAACTGAGGAGCTCCTGATTGCTGAAG